GTTTCTGCCAGTCTGCGGCAGAAATAGCAGCGGTGTCCTCAGAGACCGGCACAGCAGCAGAAGCGCGGGTAGCGGTGAAAGTGGGAAGCTGAGGGGCGGCACACCCCGCAAAGAGACGGGGGGCCACCGCATCAGTGGCGGAGGCAACGGTGAGGAGGCTGCTCTCGATGGTCCCGAGAGCAGTCTGAAGGAGGTCTATAGTGAGTTCAGTGGGGTGCTTCTGAAGAAGCGCGTCGCGGGCAGTGGCAAGGCGGTCAGGGAGGCGGGTGACTAACCAGTGCACAGTGAGCCACATGGGGGGGGGAGCAACAAGGAGCTGTGCGTCGGTACAGGCCGAACGAAAACCGGCGTCAAGCGAGCGGAGATGAGCCACTAGGTCGGAAACAATCGCAAACGAGCCTAGGTCGGGAAACACGAACGGCATGAGGAGGCGACTGAGGGAGGTGGAGGGGGGGGTGGAATAGCGAGCCACAATAGCATCCCAAACCCCCTTGGCTGTCTCCACCTGGTCAAAGTGAGCGGCCTCAGTCGGGGGGAGAAGCTCCGATAGCGTGAGGGCGGCGGCCGCGTCACGAGAGAGCCACACGTCCCGAGCCAGGACCCGACGGTCGTAGTCCGCCTGGGCCGTAGGAGTCGGCTCCGGGGCGGTCGGCAGGGCGGCGGGGGACGGGGGTGCCGCGAGAGCACTCGACGCGTGGGCCCACAGAGTGGCGCCGTCCTGACGTTGGCTGGTGAGGAAACGTGTGGTCTGGCGCTGCCAGGTACCGAACTCGATCGGGCGTCCCTCAGCATCGAAACGGAGGCGACGGGCCTCCATAGCGGAGCCCATGCTAGAGGCGACTGGAGCACGGCGGAGGCGAAGCTAAGAACGAGGAGGAAAACTACGGAGGGCTAGGGACGCCAGCGGGGAAAACGACGAGAGACAGTCGGCGAGAAAATAGTCGTGGGGCGGGGCTCTAACCGAACCTAGGTGGCGCTACCGGAGGGAAGAGCGGCTGCCAGCCGCTGAGCCGGGAGCCAAGTGCAGTAGGAATGGCGTGGGACCGGTGCACAGGTGAAGGGGAGAGAGATGCAGTAAGTGCACAGAGTGATGCGGTAAGTGTACGCAGGTGTGCGGTAAGGGCACGCAGGTGTGCGGGAAGCGCACACAGAGTGATGCGGTAAGTGCACGCAGGTGTGCGGTAAGCGCACGCAGGTGTGCGGTAAGTGCACGCAGGTGTGCGGTAAGCGCACGCTGGTGTGCGGGAAGCGATGACGGAGGAGGGCGCGCGACAGGCGGAGGGGAGGGCACGCGACGGTCTAAGGAGGGCGCGCGACGGTGGGGGAGGGCGCGCGGCGGTCTAAGGAGGGCGCACGACGGTTTTGGAGGGCGTGCAACGGTGGGGGGAGGGCGCGCGGAGGTCTAAGGAGGGCGCGAGAAAGGCTGGACAGCGCGGGAGGGCGCGGGTTAGGCGCGAGGAGGGCGCGGAGGGCGCGGAGGGCGCAGAGGGCGCGGAGGGCGCGAGAGCACGGAGGGCGCGTAGGGCGCGGAGGCTAGCTAAAAACGAACGAGGATCTAACCTACTCGTGATACCATCTTAGAATAGGAATGCAACAGAATGATGAAACTAGAAAGTGTGGAAGTACAAATATGCAACCCTAACAACTGTACTCCCTATTGTGCTACTCACTGTAGCCTACAAGCATAGAATTACATTTGACACCACCCTACCCTCGGGTAGCCCCAAACGGGTCGGGTCGGGTCGGGTCGGGCCAATGCCCAAGCCTAGTTCCGCGTGTCCTCCATCGCGGAAAAGGTTTTGGCCCAAAATCGAGTTTAAGTCTGGATGTTGCGGGAAAGTTGCGGATACGTTGCGAAAAGTATCTGAAAAGCAATGACCGAAAACCGCAACTCTGCCTCCGAAATGCATTCGGGTGGCACCCGAGTCGCGCATTGCACACTGTCCGAATTCGCGACATTGAACGCGCGATGCGCGTCAAAATGTGGTGGAATGTGACACATTTTCGGGGCGGCTCGACAAAATGAATACACTACAATACCCTTGCTGCAAACCCCGACATAACTACCTGCATATTAGCACACATTACATGATTTTTCCACTTTATGCAAAGAGACGTACACATTTCGGTTTGGCAGACAGTTGGTAAGTGTCGTCAACTCCAGGACGGCGTTGGATGTTTCAACGGTTCTCCCGTCATCACAAAAAGGTATCACGACGGCCAAATTTTAATTAGCATCACACTTACAACACTATTTCAACCTGAGCAATCACAACATCCACTTTAACATGGTGTAACGTCCCACCAACCCACTACTCCCTCTTCCATATCGCCAGGGTTCCGCCCTATACCTCACCGCGTCACGAAGTGCAGCACTACAACTACGCATTGTCAGTTGCGCTCCACGCTTTCAGGATCGTCCACATCCGGGAATAACACACCATAGCTCGAAGTCTGTGGTTCAATGTCGGACACTGCACACGTGATCCCCTCCTCGGGCGGGCTTCCCCCTTGAGCCCGCTTAGTGGGCGTGCGGCGAAGACGGCTCACCACCTCTTCATTCGCTGCACCAACCTCTTCGGGAACGTCACACACAGGGATTCCCAAGCTCTCCGCACGTTTTGCAAACTCTCCAGCAACCATGCGCACCACGCGGCGACAGCTGCGCCGGTCTCGCATGAGGGGCCCCTCCGGCATGCAAAAATATACCGGGATCTCCTCTTCGCCGTCACCCTCCTCACCATGACGCGGGTTCCACTTCTCGAGGAGCTGTTCGTCGCAGCCGACGAAATCCCACGACGCCATAAACGACCCGCTGCTGCACTTGCTCTTAAACTCATCAAGATCCATCTGAAGCCGCGTCAAATCTGTCACAATACATTCGAACATCCCTGCCGCTGCGGCCTCTTTCAGACACTCCATCCGCGGAAGCCATCCACGCGGTACACACTCGGCTCTCCACCAGCTCCTCTGAATAGCGCCAGGCATGGTGCACTTGACGGCCATGAACAGCTTGTGAAGGACATCGTGAAGCGGAGGTCGCGGAAACACCCCTTTTTGGATCCACTCGGGACTCTTAATCGCGTCGCACAGAAACCATGTGCGGTAAATCGCCTTCACGGTGTCCTCCACCCCATTGAGCGCAGGAACGGAGCACGCATGTACAAGGCCATACGTCTGCACAAGATGCACACTAGTCAGCCCATGAACGACAAACCCTGCCACATGGGCGGTATCCGTCACATATCCGATGAGGACATGATTCGGATTGTGCACCAGCACTACCGCTTTCTCGTTCTTCGCATACAGATCCCCTAAAACGTGTCCATGTACTCCGTGAACAACTGCGCACACAAAAGTGAATACACCGACACGGTTAACTGATGTTCTAAAAAATGCACACTCATGTCACTGCAGCTCAACACTACAGCATCAACAACAACTGCGATGCGCACCCATCCAACCATCCTTACCTCCGGCGACATGCGACCGTTCTTGGCGTAACGGACTTCCACCGGATGCGACCGACGCCGCCCTGCGTAAACAGTCCTCTTGTCATCCCGTCGGAGAACAACGAGCGGAGGCTTGCGGATACTGCCCGTCACGTTGTGGAAATAGCACACGGGAACGTGCCACTCCCGCGTCAGATGTTCGCGCTCATCCATACACGGACCCAACGGAACCCTTGTTGGGATCAACGGAAACTCTGTGAACCAAAACGGGATCAACGGAAACTCTGTGAACCAAAACACGTTTTCGGGGGGGGGGCTTGAGCTCCTCTAGCAGGGTTACAACGGAAGCCATGTCGTGAGTATGCTGAAACAGAAGTATCTGTCGGCCAAATTAGTACTGGGGCTCCACGGCGCCACACGGTATGCTTTTGCAATGTTTCAACACCGCCCAAGTACGCGACCTCCGAATTGACACCTCAGCACCTGGCCACGCCCAGCTCGGATACCCGGATAACACAACCAAACGCATACCGTGGCATTATCAACCAATCGCAAGATATCGAACACCAATCGGAACGGCAATGCTCCGATTTCAGGAATGGCCTACCCCTTCCCCGCCACATAGTGGCTGCGCCACACACCACCCCGAAGGACACCTTGAAGTGTTCGCCACCACATTCCAACAACCATCGATGCATCCGCGTTACAGAATACACCGCCGTGCTCAGTCAACTCCCCGAGCACACTGCGTCAACATTACCCCAACGCATTAAGTATACACGGTTGTGCATATCGCCACACTACACACCGTCCAAAATCATTACCGTACACATGCACCACGCTCGCATCCAGTTCCTACTTAACGTCACTGTGGAGGGCTTAGACCATAATGGTATGCAGTCCTTCACGAACCTGGGATTTCTACTACGCAAGAATAGCGTACTACTGTCTACACTTACTCACATTAGTTGGCTAAAAAAGGACTACACTTTTTTTTGGGTCTCAAATGCTCCGCTGTGCAATTACGACAGTGTCTAACAAGAACGTCTGTAGTATCCACCACTTTCCAGGTCACTCGCACAGCAGAAACTTGTTCAGGAGCAACACTTTTGGGTTACTGTACGAGCGGCATATGTGTACAACCCGCAGTATGCTCTCCACAGGGACGACCGCGAGCCTGGTATCCTTGCGGGACGGTGTGAGCTGCAAACAGGTAGTGAGGGGGCATTCCCCCATCTTCTCAAAGTACCTCACGTACACAAAAGCCTGCTGCACATCCAGTGAAGTTTGAACCTTGAAAATGCACAGGGCCTTCCCGTACCACTCCTCTTTCTTGGAACGATAGAGGGCGATGTCTGTAAACCAGTTTTCACGTGGGCTTGCTTTGACGAACGCGCCCTTGGATACCAGTTCGCCTCCTTTCGTGCGAGGAATCGCCACAGCTGTGTGTGCCTGCAGGATGGGGTACGAGTCAGACACGAGAGAAGAGGTCCACATGGACGTAAGTCCATCTTTGTGTGTGGCTGAATACACCAGCACGGTGTCTCGTCAGTGTTGGCGCACAGGCACAAACTCAACGTCACTCACCATGACCTCTGATGCTGTGATGCCAGCCGCCACCACGCAGCCCTGGAAATCGTCCATGAGCTCGCCGAGCGTGCTATGGTACTTGGCCATCTCAACGTCCCCCTCAGCCGCGGGTCGCATTTTCCGGCCCTTTCGCGTGAGCACAGGCTTTTTCGCCTGCACGGCCTGCGGGCGTTAAGGGTGCGGGTGTAAACCGGAGTTTGGCAAATATGCAGGGCACCAGACGAGACCCCACTACCTACCATCAATAGTATACACACATATCCAACCACAAAGGGCATACCCGCTGTCCGGCATACCCCGCATCTCACCTCACGAAGTGCAGTGGCGTACTGACGTCCACCACCCGCATCCTGCGCCACCTCACGGCAGATCTCCCTCTGTACTTCCTCCTCCACGATCCGCCTTGGTATGTCTTTCCAGTTGCTGCCTCTCACCGGCACCTTGACGGTCCCCTTGTGGGTATGTTCCCACATCTCTGTGCTGTAGTGGTGGGGCATCCCACGCATCATCACATTGTCCAGCAAGTGCTGCACAATGTGAATCTTCGGGAAGCGCCATTGCGACGGATGGTCCGGGTATGCTTGCGGCAAGATCTCCACTAGCCTGCATGTACGGATTGTTACAACACCAAGATAAGAATCACACGGATACTTAGCAGTTATCTAAGTGGGGAAAATGCAAAACACACCCGAACATCGCTTTACTCACTTCCAACACACACACCCCTAACTCACTTGATCGCGTGCATCCGAGCTACTGCCAGAGTGGTTTCCGTGTGTCCGCTGACTCCCAGAAAAGCCTTGTAGAAAGTTGCGTACATGCGGAATGCCCGCACACGCAAGGCCGCCAGCTCCCCCACCTTCCCAACCGCAAGGGCTGCCTTGTCTGCCACTAGGATTGGCATCACCTGCATCATGCTGCGGTGTTCAAAGGCTGCGTAGTTTGCTCCACTCATGAAATATGAACTGCCCCCGGGGAGTCGCAGAATCGCACTGGGTGTTTCGCCCTTTGTTGTCTTCTTGCGCCTGCGTTTGTAGTGTGTGCGGCATACATGCATACAAGTGATGTATACCATTAACACGTCTTAGACTCCCGCCCTTGGCAATGCTGAGACAAGATCCATGCGGCCCATGCTCCCCAAACCAAGACGTAATGGCGGTCCACCATGCTCACCTTTCTACCTCCCGCCTCTCCGGCTTGCTGAGTGTCGCTATGTGGCTCTCCACCAAGTGCAGCCCAAGCCCCGAATCCAATACGTGCATAATGTCCGCTACACATGCACCAAACGGGTTCCCCCAGGACGTGTCTGAGAAGTTCCATCGCGCCAAAACGCACTGCATAACGGTATGGGACAATCATAAGATCAAGTGGATGTCTTATCCCATTCAAAAAACACATGCCAGTTGGGTTAAAAGTTACCAACAGGCGCGCACCTCCACGGGGTGAGTCGACCACTCGGTTTGAATTGCCTCTGCATCCTTGACCTTCTTGCATGCAAGCATGTTTCTCAGGCAGTGAAGCTCAGACGCCACTGTCCTTGGAGTTGCCCGATGCTCCAGGTTGGGGAGGAGAGAGTCCTCAACGTAGCATGTGGTGTATGGTCGCTTGGTGCCTGTTTGGAGAGTCGCCGTGGCTCTGCAATGCTCGATGAAATCGCCGGGGTAGGCGTAGAAGCAAGGCACCGCCTTCACCGGCTCACCTTGCACATCGGTGACGTAGAAGAACCGCATTGGAGCGCTGGCACCAATGCGGCCAGAAACAACACACCAAATTACGTTACTCACTGATGCCTTTACGGATATAGGGTTTTAGCTTCTGCCAACATACTTGCATCCACACCGACCAAATTCAGTTTCATACCTCGGAGACTCTCTCATCAAGGGAGCCAATATGATGCGCATTGCCTCCTGGAAAACTCGAGCCTTCTCCGTTTATGTGGCCCACTCGGGGGGAAACGGCAGCACCGCCGCCATTGCGTGACCCGGTTCCTGCCCCCGCAATCCTTCAGGGATGTTTACAAGGCTGATGAGAACGGGCCAAGCCTGCCTGCGACCATTGCGAGTGGCGTTGGTGCCATCGCTGTAGATGATGACGCCGAGAACCCATGCTGCGTCGTCATTCACCTCCTTCTACGACAAAAGGCGTTGTTCGGGGGGGTAGTGTGAATAGCTGTCTGTATGCAGAACAGTTCGGAAGGTCACCGGGGTAACAAAAAGACGCACCTGTGCCTCCTCCAACCACTTCGTGGTGGCAGGGTCGCTGAAAAGCCGCAGTTTAGACACCGGGTCCAGCTCCGTCCGTGGCTTGGTCACGAAACCAGTCAAGCCCGCGAAGATCCGCACTAGTTTTTTCACAAGCTGTGGAGGTGACATTGAATACATGCACTGCCGTGAAAGAGTTAGTAAACCGGCACAGTGGGCGCGTATGCAATAGGGCTGAAACCGGGCGACCTACAAGCTCTGTGTTGCGGTAATGTAGCAGTAGCTTCTGCTGTTGTCCACGCGGCCCGTAGACAACAATCTCCTCGCAAAGCCATGGCACCATGTCCACCGGGGCTCTGTCATCACCCCATCTCCTGACATCCAGGTGGTTGCGCCACTGTCTCAATGCCCGCAAATTGAATCTGGGATTTCTGAAGATGTGTAACAGCCGGTTGACTTCGCGCCGCGACAAGTCGGCGTCTCTGAAGAATATGTACATAGCTGTAAGCGTGTCGAATATCTCGCCATCGCTACTCTGCTCGCTACAAGTCGAATGGTCGTCCACATCACTGTGCTCTAGCTCGTCAGCGGTAGGAACTGGGGGTCTTTTCTGAGCCGGCTCATCGCTTGGAGCACGTGACGCCGTTGCTTGCGCGGGAGGCGCGGGGGGGGGGGGGAGTTTGAATTTGCCTGCACGAACTCTAGATATGCCTGTGTTAGGCGCTCGTTACGGCGACCAAGTATTTTTCGCATACATTCTGGAATACTCGCGAGGTGAGACTGAAGCATGTTGTCGTCGCGGTACGCGGTGCTGCATCCCCCGCATACGTTCCCTCTCATGACTAACACTAAAAGCGCAAACCCTAATCGTGGTATGCGCGACTATGGTGCGGTAGTTGTCAGCCCAGATAGTTGTCTGCCCTTGTATTCGGTATACTCTGCCGCACGATATTGTTGAGTACGATGAGTATCACACCTAACATGAAAGGACTTTCGATGCACTACGGTATGTCCTATTGGGTTATACGGGGGGTGGGTGGGGGCGTTCAGTATGTGGGTGGGGGTTGTGTTGTGGTCAATTGTGGAGTGTACAGAGCTTGCAACAAAATAATCTGCTATCCAATTCAGTTTGCATATTTCATCGCTGTACCGAGTATCGCGGCAACCACTCGCTGTGTATCATAATGTGGCGAGTCCGCGTTACTAGGCATACATGCCTGCACAATTCAGTTCAGTCCTGAAAATTAAGGTTCGCGCGTAGAATACAAGTACTGTAGTGTTACCATCTTCCAGCATATTCCCGAAATGGTTCACGGTGCGCCAATTCCAGTCAATCAGTGTATATATTTGGCACGCGCAACGCGGCGCAGCTAATTGTAGCGCGGACACCTCGTGCCCACTCACGTGATAAGCATGCATGCAGCGAAGACATGTGGCACGCAATTGTGCGTTCGCGCCAAAAAAACAACCAGATCTAGCCATCACACCCAAGCCACATCATATGTTCATCTACTCCGTCAACCCGAAACCTGTCTGCGTTTTTTATTAATGCTCACGGCTGAAATCTCATTTCATTCAGAGGACGATCTAGTCACTTCTACTTGCACTCATAGTTTCTCAGGTTTCCTTTTTCCCTACGCGCATACCAGACTACACTCAACTATGACTCCGCAAGGAAGAGCGCGCGACAAGCAGTGTGTCTCTAAGGCCAAAAAACTTAGCCCAGATAAGGCGGATTCTGAAGTCGTGGAAGTGGAAGCACAAGAACGCAGCGGCGTGGCTCGAAGCCTTCGCAGCAGGCGAAAGCATGCGGTTGAAGATAAGAAGGCCGACGGGGACGGCGAAACCAACAACGCTAACGCACAGTCTCCCGTGAAGTATAAGACCAAGTTGGTGAAAAAGAATGAAGAACCGGAGCCCGATGACCTCGTGACTTCACTCGTGTCTGGGAAGGCCGTCAAAACGTTCAAGGCCTTGACGCTTTTCAACGCCGATGGCGTCGGTTGTTTCGTGGAAGGGTCGGACCTCGAAACGTTGGCGGATGGCAAATGGCTCACGGACGGCATGGTCGACTTCCACAACGTGTAAGAGTTCGTAAAGTTTTGTGCGTATTTTACAATCAAGGCCAATTTGACCCTACTCTAACGATGCTTTACATGTGTTGCGATACCCTCCCACTAAGCAGGCTGTTGAGCATCCGATACCCTACCACACCCAACGGAGTAACATGGGCTGCGATAGACAGCAAGGCTTTCGCGTATGTCACAGATTTCAGGAAGCCATACGATTTGAGCAAGGCTCGTCGCATCTACGACGTCGACTATTTGGCAATTCCAGTCTTTAAAGCGTAAGCCCAAATTCGGCCTTAACCGAATCGTGCTATGCATACCAGAGTGTGAACTGAGCGCTATTTTTTTGGTGTCACGGATTGTCTCTATTGCCACGTGCAGTAAACACTACTCGCTCATGATCATCCCATCTCCAAAACTCCTGCTGCGCGCTCAATCCGATGACGGACCCAATCAGCTCGAGATGATTCTTTTTTACAGCGTTGGGACACACTCCGATGACAGTGCGGTGTTCGATGGCGTGAAACTGTGAGTCGGTTATCCTGTGTATTAATATAAGTGGATTCGAGGAGCCAATTGCGCGCTCGGTTGGTCATCTTGTGTTGAGATTCCCACCTTTACAGATTAATGGAAATCACCACCAAGGATCTGCATCCGGAGTGTGACACGACGCACCTTGTGAACGAGCTCAGAGATGCGGAGCCCATCCCCATGAAGGTCAGTGCGATCTTACAAGGTTCCAGTATGCAATCATGTGATACTTGCGCATGCCAAAAGTATTCACATGCTGCTCTGTGTCTTGAATTGTGTGCAGAAATGGCAGTTGCAGAGGCAAGACAATGATTTCGACTATGGCATATTTGTATGCCATTACCCGAAGTGCCTGGTGGCAACGGATTTCGATACAGTTAAAACGTGTCTGTATTGCGGGGGCGTCAGCGCGCTACAGTACCGCAGAGGCATGCGAGCTGACGCTTGCATGCATGCCGACAACGAGCTTGTACCTGCGCTAGTGAGACAGGGGTTGCACGTGCCGAACCAGCCTGCTCCCAAAGTTTCTAACGATGGCGCAGTTGTCGACTCGGGTGAGGAGGATCTCAATACGAAGCTGACACGATACCAGGTGGAGGTACATGGCTTGAAGAGGGAGTTAATAATCATCAACGCGGCCCTCACTGCAGTTGGCGCGGCGATGGGTTACAGCAGGGATCAGCTCCTCGCCGCAGCGGCACATGTCGTGGATACCCAAGGCCTTGGGGAGGTATGATCTCCACTGGCAGCGGCAGGACCCCAGCTCCTTCTACGCCTCTGCCGACGACGGGTAAGCGGCGTAGTGCATCTACGAGCCCTACAACAACGGCAGGAACCCGGGCAGGGGTGGGCGGGGCTGGTGCATGCGCACAGGCGCGCGACCTCGGGGTAATTCATCGGAACCCATGCCCTCTCCCTACCCCAACCTCACCGACCGTTTCTGGGCCGGACCGCCTGACGCCTACACGTCATGGTGTGCAGGACAGCGTGACTGCGCCTGCGCAGCGGCCAGTTATGTTGGCTATGCCGGCCAAGAGGAGACGCAGCTCGACCACGCCATCGGGCAGCGATGCTGAAGGGGACGTAGCTGGCGGTGAGTTTCGGCAGGCGAAGGGTCGTGGTGCTTCATCAATATACAAGGGAGTGCGGAAGGAGAAGCGCGGAAAGTGGAGCGCCAAGATTCTCGTCCGTGAACAAGGTAAGGCAACGCGCACACAGATGAGGCTGGGAGCGTACAATAAGGAGTTAGAAGCTGCCACGGCGTACGCAGCAGCGGCTTATGTCGTTAGGGACGGCAAGCGTGTTGCCGGAACGGTCGAGCTGACCGATGTGGAGAAGGGTTTGCTGCAGGGATGCAACTTGGCAGCCATCAAGAGGATTGTGAAAGGCCGCATGTGGTTCAGGTGGACGGAGTGGGAGAACGCTCTGGCAGACTGCCCAGAAGATGAGAATCCTGACCAGGGCGATACGCACTCCGACTCACTGGAGGAGGCCGAAGAGGAGGATGAAGAAATGGAAGCTGATGCGGGCCCTGTTGATCAGGCAGAGGCTGGTAGAGGGACCCCTCAGGACATGCTCATCGGTGGTGAGGGTATCACCGATCCCGCTGCCAGTGGGGCAGGAGTGAACACAGGTGTAGCGTTAGGTGATGCTATTGATGGTGCCCTGTTTGATGTGGACTCTGAGGGCGTTGCGTTGGGGTAGAGAATTATGGGAACACCCGGGGAATGTGCATAAGTAACATGCTTGGTGTGTTCTTAGGTTCATATTGCCTGTTGTGGGTATACCTTGTTGATATGGTTTTAGTGAAACACTTTTTTAAATGCGATCGTTGTATTCGGTTGGTCTACAGTCTATGGCATACTGTCGCCGTATTACGCGAATACGTGGCTAGCCTCATCAACAAAATATGCCATGCTCGCGTGGATCGTTGTTATTGGCCGCCGTGATTGCGCTTGTCTTGTTCAAGTACGCGTGAATTCGGAACGGTTGCACAGGGTCGTGTGTCCCTTCCCATCAACTCCTGTGAATGTATTGTGCACACTTTCACCATCCTGTGTGCTGATTATTGTACGTTGGTCGTACTTACGACTGGAAAATGGATACATCTATGGGGACGTCTGAGGAGCAACCGACAGGACGGTCGCAGCGCGAGTCACGTACACCGGCATATTTGCGAAACGTGTATCACTTGTCGCAGAAACGAGGCCGCCGTGCGACAGGTGTGCGCGGGGAGGGTGGGCCCTCTAAGCGCGCCAGGATCTCGAAGCAGAAGGGAGTTCCGGTAGGGGGTAAGTTATGCTACTGAGTTTATAGTGTCTCGTTGTGTGCTCAGATCATGGACATGGAATAGCCGAGTCACTGGACCCATGTTTGCAGTATGCTGAATTAATTTGGCATTTCTACGTGGTATCTTTTGACAACATCCTTGCAGCCGGGGCACATGCCGCTCAGGGGGCATCTAACGTCACGCCAAATGCCACGGTGGCTTCTAGTGTCGGCACCGGAGATGAGGATGTTGGCAGCGAAGGCGCTGGTACGGCGGCGCCGGTCAGATTGAAGGCCATGGCTTCAGTGCTTGGAGAGGCGCCGTCCACGGCGGGGAACACGGCGCCAGAAGTGCCACCCCCTCCGGGGCCAGACAATCCGTTTGTCGCGATGCCTGGCGAAGCGGGGGAGCCGGCGTCCGCCTCACGGCGTTACGATTCGTTCGCCGATGACAACGTGGTTATTAGCCGCAGCGAGTTCGAGGCTTTGAAGAAGGCGAATGAAGAGAGCGACCGTAAACTTGCGCATCTTGAGGCGCAGCTGCTGGCCGCCCATGCTCCAAAGAGGGATAAGAAGCGACAGAGGGAGCGTCGCGCGGAGTCGGGCAGTGGCGGAAAGCGTGCCAGCAAGCGCAGGCGGGTTGAGTCGGGCTCGGAAGATGACACAACGGATGAGGAGGAGGGGGGAAGAGGAGGAAGTAGCGCCGCGCCGGCGCAAGGGGCGCCACTTGACAAGGTCGAAGTCGCCTCTCCTTCAGGAGGCGTTCAACTATCTGCCATCTGGCAAGCCGTGGAAGGTGCGTATGCCTGTTGCCCGATTTGGAATGTTAGAAACATGCACGCTATGACTAATTTTCCGCAACGTACTAATGTGCGTCTCGTTGTTCATACTCTGACTGTGCCGTTTCTGATATTGGGCAGCGATCATGCGATCACGCGCGTGAATACCTCTTCGTGACGAGGCCAAACGATGACATAACATTTTACCCTAGCAGTGAAGACAAGACGCTCGGAATATGCGCGGTCATCCCACGCTTGACTCACAAGTATGCAAGTCTCGCACTGGCTGCCGACAAGTCGCGACGCGCGGACCTTAACAAGACACTCAGCGAGTGGAAGACCGGCGCTACTGGACGCGTACGGGACATAGCGCTTCCGCGCATTGGGCTCTAGCGCAGCGGCCGGGATGCGGAAAGCCCGTGGGCTCGTAAGGAGGAGCGTGGTGTCGAGGAGGTCCGACGCCGTTATCACCTTGTTGACGGCGTGGACGGTGAGTGGCCGGCATTGACACAGAGGAGGGTGGTTGGGCACGTTTCACTGACGTGGCTAATCGGTTTCCTTGTGTTGATTGCAGACACACTCACGCTGTCAACATGGAGCAAGAGTAAGAGTGGCATGATATTTGCGTCCGGGGCCTTCACTGCTTGCGCCGTCGCAGCCTTTAGGCCGAGGCGGGTCACCGGTCCTGTGACAGTGAAGGTGTACCACCTCGCGTGGTTGGAGCACGTGGTGAGTGACGGAAACGGCAAACGTAGAACAATCATGGTGTTTGTGCCATGTGGCTGTCTGATGCGTACGTGATGCTGTGGTTGGTATGGGGCGCAGGTGACCGACACCATCGTGAACTGGGACCGGCGCCGCTCCCGTCTGTCCAACTCCGCGGGCGGCAACGAGCAGGTGGTGGATGGCCTCCATCACCTGGCATGCGCTGCGGTGAAGGAGGCAATAGGGATTTTCAAGCCCAAATATGATGGTGATCTGGAGGCATGGGAATGGGGGGAACATGGGCTGATGCTGTCATCGTGCGGCCTCGAGCACCTAATCCCAGCAACATATGCGAAGAAGGCGGCCGCACAACAGGAGGCAGCCGGCTCGGAATCAATGGGTAGCGGCTGATGCGGTAGAACATATGTGGTTATTGCATCATTGGCGGAATGTTAAGCGTGTGCACCGCCCACTGATGATGTTGCTAGGTAGGGCGCGTGATTGGGGATTTACGTAAGGGTTTTTGTTGAAAGTCACATGTTGAGTTTTGACAGCAGGGTTGTTGTGTGTCGCGTGTGGGGAGTTATGTGTAAGAGGCTTGTGTAATATGATGAACGCTGTGTTATGGTGTTTCTCTAAACCGTAGTAATGCACAGCAGCGAATACACGTACTAAAAGGGCATACTGTGACGCCGCGGCGCGTCACACAAACACCTGAACGGGAGCTATTTTTTAGCCGTCGGATGGATACCCGGACCGCGATCCAACGGTGTGCGATGAGTAGCACCTTTTTTTTTTTTGCCGAAGATCACGGGTCTGGCGCGGGGATCGATGGATGCTGATTCCCGATGCATACCATGGTCGAGGGGCGGTATCTCTATCAGACGCACGATGCATGGTATGGCAACGGTGCAGATACATTTGAGGATGTGCAGGACGGAGTTCGCAACAGATAGGCGAAAAAAAAGGACACCCTCCATATTGGATAACGGGTAGGGACGGTGCGGCAGCGGGCATACCGGCGATTGCGCGAAGTAGGTATGCGATGGTGTGTTGGGCCGTTGGATTGAATAGTGCGCGTCACCGAGTTACGAGAATGGAGACACATGGGTGGCCAGCATCGATGTATGCGGGAACACGGGATATGGTGTGCGGCGGGGTGTGCGGGAGCGCGGGAACGTGTCAGTGTGGGAGTGGGCGGATTTTGTTTCGCGCATGATTCACAATGGGTGACGAGGAAATTCTGGAATCGCGCTCATTGGTGGCGAATTAATTGTAACTTGCGCGCATACAAGTAGGGTGGCGACATTTGTTGGAACTTGATTAGTGTACAGTGTGACGTACACCCTGTCAAATATACTAGGAGTACGGCCTAGGCTTAGTAGCCTAGGCCACAGTAGGACTACGAAAGGAGGCGCCAAGTACGAGCTAGGAATGTGTGCACGAACAGAATTGAGAAGGAATGATTGAACTAGCAAGCAGCAGGATACAAATAGCAAACCCTAAGGGGCTGTACTCACTATTGAGTACCCCACTGCAGGCTACACAAATAACATATTCTGACACACCCCCATAGCCAAAGTGGGGTGTAATCAGCACAATGAGCAGGCAGTGCAATAGTTCACAATTATCAGCAAAGCTAGAGGCTATCACAGAGGGCAAGTGAGGAGGAGGAGGGACTGTGAGAGGAGAGAAGATGGGAGGCGACGACTGAAACTGCAGACACACGGGCAACAGAAGCAGCTGACACAGTGGCGGCTGACACAGTGGCTACCGAGGCAAGGGCCCCGGACTACTGGAGTAACTGGCTCTGCGGCTACGACGAGCGGCAGAAGCAACGGACCCACGGGCGACTTGTGCAGCAGGCTCTCTGAGCTACCGGCGACAAGGGCCCCGGAATACAGGAGTAACAGGCTCTGCGGCTGCGACGAGCGGCAGGAGCTACGGACCCACGGGCAACAGGTGCAGCAGGCTCTCTGAGCTACCGGCGACAAGGGCCCCGGAATACAGGCGTTGCGGACGACACGACGGCTGCCTCCACTCAACCTCCCCCAACTATCCGACACCCCCCTACACACACCCCCAGTTTCACCCCTAGCTCCACTCCCACATCACCCCCCTAGCTCCACTCCCCACGGCTCCCACACCTCCACCCCCCCGCAGCGGCAGCTGCAGCAGTGGGAGACGAAAGAGGAGGAGGGGAAAGGGAAGGGGAAAGCCCACACCTCCCACCCCCATGCTCGCCACCCCACCCCCCAACCACCGCGGAACGCACGGCAGAACGGGAGAATGGGCAGCACGGGGGGGGGGGGGGGGGGGGGGGGGATGGGGTGCAGGGACGGCGCCACGGGCTGCTGCAGGGGTCCTGGGGCGGCTGCTGCAAGCGCGGGCCGCTCCAGGGGCGGCTGCTGCAGTGGTGGGCGGCTCCAGGGGCTGCTGCTGCAGTGGCGGGCGGCTCCAGGGGCGGCCGCCGCAGTTGAAAGGCAGGAGGAGGGGGGGGGGGGGGGGGGGGGGGGGGAAACGCACGGACCTTAGGGCGCCCCGAGGGGCGACGAGAAGGGAGCCGCGCGGCCCCCCCCCCGGGGCGCGGCGACGAGTACCAGGGAGGGCGCCGCGACGGGCCCCCAGAGCCGCCTCGACGGGCGACGGGGAGGGCGCCGCGCGGGCCCCCTGAAGTCGCCTCGACGGGCGACGGGGAGGGCCGCGCACGGCCCCCCGAAGTCGCCTCGACGGGCGATGGGAGGGGACCGCGCGCGGCCCCCGTGGTCGCCACGACGGGCGACTGGTGGGGAGGCCGCGCGGGCCCCCAAGGTCGCCTCGACGGGCGACGGGAGGGGAGGCCGCGCGGGTCCCCGAGGTCGCCTCGACGGGAGGGGAGGCCTCGCGGGTCCCCGAGAGCGCCTCGACGGGCGCTTCGACGGGAGGGGACCGCGGAGGCCCCCCCCAAGGGCACCACGACGGGCGCCACGGAAGGGAAAACCGCCAGGCGCCCCGAGCGCACGGCGGGCAGAAATTAGGGTTTCGCCGCCGCGCACCACGGGGCGCGCGGCGGACAGTACGGCAGCGGAAGCGGGTGGTGGGCCCATACACAGGAAGGTGGCAGACATGTCGCCCTCTGATACCATGTCAAATATACTAGGAGTACGGCCTAGACTTAGTAGCCTAGGCCACAGTAGGACTACGAAAGGAGGCGCCAAGTACGAGCTAGGAATGTGTGCACGAACAGAATTGAGAAGGAATGATTGAACTAGCAAGCAGCAGGATACAAATAGCAAACCCTAAGGGGCTGTACTCACTATTGAGTACCCCACTGCAGGCTACACAAACAACATATTCTGACACACCCGGTATGCTAGTTGAGCTGGGTACGGAAGACATGTGCCACGTGGCTGGTGGGTTGTAACGAGCGGACTCCGCAACACTGCGGTCATGTGCAGGGTGAGTGGACGCAACAATTTGGATGCGTGGAAGTGTCTGGCAGGTATCTTCGATGTTGCGGTTTTGTGTGCAGCGAGTGTCCGGAAAGTTGCGGTGGAGTTGCTGAAGTGTTGCATTTCAGCAACTTTCACGCAACTTTCAAGTGACTGCCGTTTCCGCAACTCTCGTCCATGACTTGAATGTTGCGGAAGGCAAGTAACTTAAAAGTTGCTTTTTTTTCAACTTTTCCGCAACATAGCCACAATCCCTTTTCCGCGATGTCGCTGTAGCCTATGCGCAGCAGACCATTCACGTGGACATCACGATCGGTCAACAGGCAAATCGCTTGGTCCGGAGGGCCGCAGTTCAAGTCGCATCGCGACGTGGCGTGGGCGCCGACAAGGTGCGGGCCGTTAAGAGCGCCACGATCGGCACAGCCTGGCGGCCCGACACGATGCTGATGTTCCAAGGGAACAGCGGTTTCCGCCGCGTGCACGTACATCGCACAATCCACCGTTCCCCCGTATAGAGTACATGCAGGAGGACTAGTAAAGAGGAAAGATTTGCGAGAGGCGGTCACATGATTAAAGAGAAGCTTAACGACAGTGATGAGAAACTAATCTCGTCGACGGGGCATTAAATCCAAAACCGCGCGGGCCGCATAAATTAGTAATACTGCTGGTCTGTTGTGCGTGAACGTTACGTGATTCCCAGCACTCACGAAGCGCGCTCTCTTTCGTCTCCATGGATGGACGAAACGTATTGCCAGAAGGACCATCCGTTGGCTGGCGCGCATCTGGAGTAGCACTCCGCTGGCCCGCCCCTCGTACCGTCAATGCTAAACATTACTTGACCCCCCATCGCGCCGCGAACGAAGCTTCACGCGATTCCTGCGGTGCCGCCGGAGTATGTGCAGCTACCCAGGGAAAGGTCCTTTTCGCACTTCTGACGTATCTCGTCGCGTGTTGGAAAAACGTTCGCAAATGTGGGAAGGCTGAGTGCTGCTAGTAGGAGAGACGACAGGGCCAATAGCGGCGCCACGCTGATACTGCCACTTGGAAAACTTAGACGCGTCAGATCTCTGTGCGTCACTGCCATTGTATAAGCTATATTGCTAGGCGAGGTTGCGATGGCTTACCTATATACATTCTTGTAATGTATCACAGTCTTTAGCCTTTATATCGCAGAGAATTCGCTTGCCATGTCTAGTCAGCCACCTCCCATCCATCCCCCCAACAACACACACGCAAATCTCACATGGATTTTGGGGATTTGGGGAAATGGTTGGGGCCCCAAAAGGAAACCTGGGAACGTGTGTTTCACGGGATAGACCCGTCGTTGTCACGCCCCACAAAGGACGAGATGGGACGGAATCAGGCCTCTGCAGGTTTTTTTAGGGCGACGTCAGGTTGTACAAGAATCACTCTAATGCAGATTCCGTTACCAGATATTGCAAATGTAACCACAGTTCTTGTTGCCTTTAGGACGCGATCAGATTTGGGGCATGAAATTTGATATGAATGTGTAAGTGCGCCGATCCATTTAGGGTGCAACAAGCGGGCGAAGATTGTGTTGGAATAACCGAAGGTTATGATAACGTTCCCGAAGGTTTCACTTAGTGCATCGCTTCATAACGAAGCATCGCACCTGTACTACTATTGTGTTACGCTTGTATACAGCACGCGGGAGCTCGAGAGTCACTCGAATGTCAACATTCGCAGTCAGTCAACGGTCGTGACTGTTGACCGCCCAGTAACCGTACTCGGAAGTTACACGATGCAACTTGGTAACTGTCGAGTAGAGTAATAGTCGCAGTTACTGTAGCAATGCAATACAGTTAATAAGGGAATGTACCCCTCAGAGTACATGGCTAGCTAGGATTGCTATTTATATCCTTGTACTCCTATCTTAAAATTATATTGTTCTCTTTCAACTAATATTAACAAGGTCACTACAAGACTGCATTGTCTTCTTACAACTTAGTATTTCTTATC